TTGTAAATTTATTTCCATTCCCCATTTTCCATACTCTTCTACTAATTTTCTGAACATGTAAGTTACATCATCTTCATCTTCAGCCATTATCACCTGGTCGTTTGCAAATAGAAGACAAAACAATGTTTCATCACCTATTTTCACACCCATGCTTCTGCACTTTCTTTTCCATTCTTTGAGGGGTTTATCAATGTATATCTTAAACAGGATTGGAGATATACAGCAGCCTTGCCGTAATCCTTTATTTACTGGGAATTTGTCTGATAGACATTTTCCCACATTTACTTGACATTTTTTATCTTCATAAAGTTGTTTGACTACATTTATGTATGATGTTGATATTCCTTTTTCTTCCATTGCCCCCATACTTCTTTTACTGGTACATTATCATAAGCCTTTTTGAGATCAATGAAAATTAAGTGAAGTTCTCTTCCTTACTCAATTGCTTTTTCCATCAGGTGTTTGAGACAGAAAATATTGTCAATACAGGATCTCCTGATCTAAAACCACTTTGCTCTTCTGAGTCTGATGATTGCATTTCAATTCTATTCTTTAGCACACGTCCATACAATCTACCCGAAGAAGAAGTCACACTTATCCCTCTATAATTATTACAATCTTGTTTACAACCTTTTTTTGTAAATTGAATATATTCATATTTCAGGTATTTTACCTCCTTTTAAAATGCCATTGAATATTTCAGTAATTAATTCCAAACCTACAATAGGATCATGTTTAACCAGCTCTATGGATATACCTCCAGGCCCAAGTGCTTTATTATTTTTTCATGTTTCTTAACACTGTTTTTAACTCTTCCAAAGTCACATCTGGTGTGATTGAATTTTTGTGCAGCGGTTCATAATTTATTCTCTGAAATTTAGCTCTATTTTCTGTCAAAAGATTTTCACAGTATTTTTGCCATTTTTCAATACCATTTGGGTTTACTAAATGCCATTCTTGGGTTGTATTCATTTTCATGGAATGTAACATTTTCCATGTCTCTCTGGATTTGGTGTTCCCAATGCACTTGTCTAATCTGTCAAATTCTTGTTCCCAGAATACATTTTTTGCCATCTTCACTTCTTTCATGACCAACCACTTCTTTCGTTATTCTGTTATATTTACTTCTGTCTTCTAAATCCTTTGTGGAAAGCAATCTCAAATATAGCATTTTCTTTTCTTCGACCAGGTTCTTTATATCTTCTGTCCACCACAAGTCTTTTTGTTATATTCACATTTTACCTTCTCTCCCAAAGCTTCTTAAGCGGCTTCATGAGTGCATTTTTCTAAAAATTAGTATTTCTCTTCAGTATTTCCTATTGGGATGTACTTTAATTTTTCTGCCATGTGCAATTTGTTCAAAAATGCAATGGAATCATCTTGAAGGCTTTCAATATTGTATCTCGGCCACAT